TAAGTGTGTCAGTGTCAGTGTGTCTGTGTAAGTGTGTCTGTGTAAGTGTGTCTGTGTCAGTGTATGTCCGTGTGTCTGTGTAAGTGTGTCTGTGTGAGTGTGTCTGTGTAAGTGTGTCTTTGTAAGTATGTTCGTGTGTCTGTGTCAGTGTATGTCCGTGTGTCTGTGTAAGTGTGTCTGTGTATGTCCGTGTGCCTGTGTATGTACTTGTGCCTGTGTATGTCCGTGTGTCAGTATATGTTCGTGTGCCTGTGTATGTCCGTGTGTTACAGAAAGTCACGGAATGTCACAAACACGGGAAGTATGATAGTCACTTCCCGTCACCACCGCAGACGTCATGAGTGTGTTTTAGTTGGGAGTGTGCATGCTGTAGGGAGAAGAAAACAAACAGAGGGAGAGCATGACATGGGATATAGGAGCAAGAGAGTGAGGGCAGGCTTGAGTTTCAAGGTACGCAGGCAACGATACCTTCCTCGATGAAAGCAACGACGTACACTGTAGACTGAATGCTTGGGAAGATGCAGATTTTGGTTCGCCAATTCTGCTTCGGTGGTTCAACCGTGCGGCGCATAAGACAACACACACAGACAGAGAATTAGTGAACAATGTGTCACACACACTCACACAAACTCTACGACACACACAGACTCTCGGTCATTGATGTGTTATGAACATGATTGTCCGCTGCAATTTCGCCAACCCTCACTCACATAGACCCCCGTATACGCCCATACATGCAGAGAAGGAAGGGGAGAGGAAGTAGAGTGCTACAACGCGGAGAAAAGAAAACGCAGTGGAAGACTCACAGAAGCAAAGTGATAGAGTACACAGTACAGTGAATTCTTTCTACCTATGCATTGAGCCTTCCCCGCTGCACTTACGATAGAGTGCACATGTCACCTTGCATTGTCACACATGTCGCAGTCTGACATTAAGCAGAATGACATCACCACCATCAGACTGCAGAAAAGGGGTAGATGTCGTTGACCACAAAACAGAATCAATCATTATAACCAGTATCCAATAAGAGAGTCAATAGTTCCTGGATTCAACGCTCAACAAAGTATCATGTCCCCTTCGTTACCAGAAATTATCTGCTCGGTGTTGTCTGCGCTCATCATCAACAACACGAATTGCGAAGTCCAGGTAAGAACAAGTCCTCTCCACATATTCTCTCTGCTGTGTATCTCACAATGGTAGAAGTCTTCACACCATGAGACGCAAGTGTGTTCACAGCATGCATCGTCAACAACCAGAATGAGCACAAGTCTTCACTGTTATGAACTTGGTTGCCTGACGAATTTTATTGCCACTCACATGCAGACAATCTCACACATGCCCATGCATGCATAAGAGAAGGGGAGAGAGGAGACAGAGTCCACACTGCACACAGGTGAAAATAAGTAGCGGAAGACAGACATGCACATGTGGGGAGAAGACACGCAGTGTTTCTCACTCTCTCACACAACTCCCAATAACCAATCACAAGAAAGAACCTGCGAAGATCACAATTGGAAAGGTCACTGATGATAAGCCACTCATACAATTATCGTAACAGAGTTTGTTCCAATATCTCACCACACTCAGAACTCACACCCCACTCTCTATCCTACACCCAGTTAGTAGCACTGCATCAGAACAGCCTCCCATAGGCAAGCGCCAACCACCCTGATGAAGAACAGGTCCTGCGATGAAGTCTTCAGTGCCGATGGACAACTCTGACGAAGGAACAGGCAACTATGGCTACCACCACCCACGAACCACCACTGTAGAGCCTCGGTCCAGCCCGGCCATACGCAGATACCCCCAGGGGTAGATGCGCTGAGGATGCCTCAGCTATGGCAGACTCAGATGTGGCCGGCTATGACTGCTGTCACGGTGCGTCTCAGGATGCCGCCTGCAGACCAACACCGCCACCAACTTGCTTGGCTTCTCCAACGCTCTGTGGCGAGAAATGAACTGCCAAAAGTCCTGAACCGGTGGACCTATCCTATCTATAGACTCGCTAGACCTAGACCGGACTGACTGACCGACCGGTACCATTGCTGTTTCGGCCTCTCGGCCTCTACCGGACCCGGCTATAGGCTATAGGACCGTCTAGCAGCATAGGCCACTTAGGGCCTATCTGTCCTAGGGGTAGCCCGGGCCTGCTATAGGCAGTTAGGGTAGCTGTAGGAATTCGGTTAGTACCGGGCCTGTATTTTTCCGGATTTACAGATCTGTCCCTCACGAATTTCCTTACAGGCAGGTGTTTCGGCTAGCCCTCAGCCACATAAAATTACGAATCTAACCTTACGAGTTAGTGTACAGCCTCGCAGTCAATCAGCTCATGCAGCACACAGTTGCACAGCTCATGCAGCACACAGTTGCACATCACACAGCACACACTACACAGCAGCTCATGCAACGCACAACACACAGCACACAGCACACAGCAGGATAGCCAGACCGTTGCTGACCCCATACTCGTGCAGCACACGTCGTGCGCCGGCGACAGTACACAGCATACAGCACACAGCACACTACAGTACAACCTCTGTGTGGCGGCGCAGGCTGTAGAAAACAGCAAGTCAATGCAAGTGCATACAGTCAACACCGCACCTACACACTCATACACATTATATTTGTGTGTGTGCGAACTTGTCTCAGTGCAGTCTTCACTGTGTTCTTATTTCATGCTTTTCTTTGCTACATTGCCTTTGCGCGGCGCTCCTTTCCTCTTCGACGACCCCGTTGGAGTGTCACCGCCTTTGCGTGCTGCTACTGTCTTCTGAGACACCCCCTTCCCCGCCTGCGTTTTTCTCTCGACCTGCCTTGCAGCATTCATCTGCCGTAGCTTTTCCGCTGTCTTCTGCTCGTCGATAATGCCTTCATATTTGTATTCCCAGCGAGCCTGGGCCAAGTTGTCAACCAGCCTCAGGTCCTTCAGCTGGATCGTCACCCTCTTGCAGTGAATAGCAATGATGTTTGTTCTCTCGAAATAGTTGATGAGATATGCTTTCGCCACTTCCAGCAACGCACGTATGGCGTTCATCTGAAACCTGATAGATTGCCCTGGTGCGATTTCTTTCTCGACGACCTCGCGCACGACCCTCATGAATGGCCTCAAAGCAATACACAAGTGAGTAGATCGTTGGAGTTGCCGAATTTCTGCCAATGCTGCCATCCCTGCGCGGCGCCTGCGCTTTGGAACTGGGGTAGCGGCCGCTTTTGCTTTTGTGGAACTCCCGAGTCCACGACGCGGCCAAGATGTGCACTGCTTCTTCTTCTTCTCTGCCCTCCCTGTCACGTGCTCCGCAGGGGTGACACCATCGTCGGCTTCTGCATTAGAACATCCCCCATCATTTGCTGTTTCCGGGCCGTCGACCTGAGTTGACAAATGTGAAATGTCCCGCTGCTGCTGTGTTGTTGGTTGTGCATTCGATGCAACACGAGCGTCGTCATCACCCACGTATTGAATGTGTCGCAGCAGTCCATCTATGTACGTGAGCTGGAAAGGGATACCCAGAGGGTCTCTGAATCTCATGCACATATGTTCACCATGCTCATATGTCATGGGACAGACGACAGGGACCCACCCAAGAAGTGATGTGCACCCGTGTCTGCGTCGAATGCCCTCTAGAAACATGTCATCCGTCGAGGGTCTTGCTTGCTCGGTGCACGAGTCTTCCACGATCGACCACATCGCCTGGTCATTATGGGAGTCATATCCCATGCACACCATCTGTCGTTCTTCCTCCCTTATCTTCTTCCAGCAACGCTGCGTGTGTTCCTCCAGCAATCCCCGGTCTTTCACATGAGGATTGCAAACGGAGACACGTGTCACCACCACCAAGAACTGCCAATGCTCCACAACGCCAGCATGCATCCAACCCAAAGACAGTTACTCACCAGATTGCATTCTTGCTGCCAGTGTCACTTTGCCATCAACAACTGCTGGATGCAAAGAACCAGGTACCCAATTGACATGGTACCCGTACATGTCACGGGCCACATGCTGGTACAACTGCCCTTCTTGAATCACATGGGCCGCAATGTTACTGGCTGCAACCACATCCTTCCGCATTGCCACATGGTCCCATACGTCCATACAAATGTCATCAAATGTGGCTTCTTTCCCCTTTACGTGGACGTATGTGATGCACTTTTCACCACTAAACACCATCCCTTCAGCGAGGGCCGACTCGAAAGGATTGCCAAGTGGCGGGTCGAAGATGCGTGCATCGCGTGGCCGGCATGTCATCGCCTCCTTTTCGTCTGCAGTCGCTTCTCTGTCAAAATGACGGAAGGAAAACATGTCGTTCACGTAATGCGCGCTCCAGACATTGCCCATGATATCACGCACTTGCATCTTAACACGACCATATCCAAATGGGATTGCAGATGGCACCCAACCCCATCTAGGATCCCTTCTTGCATCGTCCTGGCTGACTGACGTTCCCCCCCTGCGTTGCTGGCCACCCAACACCCACAGTTGTCCGCAGCCAAAGTTGTCATATACAAAATCGTTGAGCCGCAACTCACCCTTTATCTGTAGAACACGATACATCTCCAATGTGTATTGACAAGCATCGTGGGTCGTTGCCCCATCATTCAACCTCAACACTCTGTCATAGATAAATGACAGATATACGTTACGCCATGTTCCTTTCTTTGAGGCAGGAACAGCAACCCACTGGTCAGCAACCTTGAAAGCAAAGCAATGCACACCTCCAACGATACCTGGCTGAACACGACCTAGCACCCAATTCACATCGTACGGGTATCTATCTCCTGCCATTGTCTTTGTCACATTTGCATCTGTAACAATGCATCCACTTTGAGGACCCTCGCTGCCAACATCTTCCTCGTTTCTCTCTCCACCCACCTTCTCTATCTTAGCACTGTTTCCTCGTGCACCGCTATCGTTGTCATCCACGTCAGCAAGCATCTGCTCAGTTTCCATATGAATTGTGGCGAACACCTCTTCACATGCATCAGTGGCCGTGCCCCCGCCCGTGGTCTGCTGATGAGCTGTCGTTTCGTTGACCTCACTTGCAGGGGAACAACCACTTAGAATGACTTCTGTTTCCATGTCGTTGGTCTCTCTAGCATTGGCGGCTGTTGCAATGGCGGGTTCCATCTAAATATTTACACA